TCAAATTAGGGTTTCACTTCTCATCAAGATTTTTGAGTTCCAAGGGTCCTAAATGATTTCCATTGCCCTAATATGTCCTCAAGATCATCCATGCCAATTTTCATGCCTTGCACAAGAAGTTTGCTCAGTCAACTGCTCAAATGCTTGAAAATCAATTGTATTAGGTCAAAAGTCAACTGTGACCCACATAAAGTCAAACTTCAAGATTTTTGGTCAACATCAAAATTTTGAAGTGATATTCATCATTTGATCAAGTGTTGATCACGATTCCTCAAGGAATGCTCTTAATTCATCAAAACTCAAAAGTTGCTAATTTAGGGTTTCTATAGGAAAAGTCAACCAAACTTTGACCAGGCATAACTTTCTCATACTTTATCATAAATTGCTCATCCAAGGCTCAATTTGAAGATAATTAAATTCCCTACAATTTATATTCATCCCTCAAGTTCAATAAATGCACTCATGAAAAGATATAAATTCAGACATTATGGGTCATTTCAAAAAGTCAACAAAAACACCTTTTGGGTCAAAGCTTCTTACATGAGCATAGAAGATCCAATTGAGATGAAACCAAAAAGGTTGTTTAGAGGACATCATAATCTTTCTAGAACATCTAAGAATACCCTCTTAGGGTCAAAATTGAGAGAGATGTGCATTGTCAAAGTTGGCCATTTTTGAAAATTTGCCCAAAGTCAACAATGCTCGAAATTGTATTTTTTCCACATGGGCCCATGTTTTCAAGATTGAATCTCAGTCCTAGCATGGTCCACGACCTATGGGACCCTCCATGACTTATTCATTCATTTATTTAATTTATTTTGATTTTTATTCATTTAAAAATCAAATAAAATCAAATAAATCATATAATTTGTTTTAGGAATGATTTTTGCATTGAAGGGAAATATTATATGCTGTCAAATAGCCAGGAAATTATGCAAAGCCAATTAAGACACAAAATCTTCACATATAGCAATTTTTTAAGATTTGATTTTCTTCCAAAATCATGCAATTATATTTTTTATTCTTTCTAATTCTATTAACCTAATTTGATTTAGTACATATACAGAAGCATTTGTGAACCCTAAGACGGGAATTCACTTACAGCCCGCCTCCATAGAGCAAGAACAAAGTTCATTTTTTTGACAAAAAAGTGCAGATCGTATTCCCTTCTACAGGCCGTTTCAAGCCATTTCAAGGACATAACAACACTCCTGAACATTCATTGGAGCCTTTGCAATCATTCTCAAGGCTTGAAGCTTGCAGAATAGTGCACTACCTTCATCACGGTTTGCATATGTTCTTGATTTTGATTCTTTTAATTCTGGTATCATAAACGCATTTTAGCTATATATTCATGTTCATTGTCATACTTGCAATGATTCTGGTTGGTTTAATTGGATTTTAAGCGCAGGAATCGTATTCACCATAGCTAGGGTTTCGAATGTCCCAAATTGGGGACTCCATGTACAGGTTAAATTAGGTCCAATCAAGGGTCAATTCGTGCTCAGGAGATCACGAGTGATCGACCCATGGCCTTATCTGAGATTTATTTGCTTGTGCTGAATTTTTGAAAATGCAGGGGTTATAGCTATGGAAGTTGTCTGTAGGTAAAAGCCTTATGCCTAAAGCGACGATTCTTTGGAGAAGATGACTAGGTGGCAGCCCATCACTGTCCAGGTTGAATCTGGCGCACGTTTTTTTTGGAAATTCCCAGATATTAATTTTGTTTTCATACATAATATTACTATGTTGTTATTTGTACAAACAAGCGCTTCAGCGCATATGACAAAGGACAAGGCACTTGAGAGGGAGGACCTGGGTTCGATCACAGGTCTCAATATTTTCTTATTTTCTAAGTTGTTTATTACAGATTCCATGCGCCTCACTATCCAGCGTCCACCATACGCCCAAGAATCTCATAATTGGATCCATCTGTATCCAGATCTAATGCATCACAAGCGCAACACACAGTGGACTTCCAAAGGTGATCCCCACTGGATCCAGCGCAAATGGACCAGTTATTCTGGGCCTGGACAAATTCAGCATACACCCCCCAGAATTGTTTCCAACATCAGGCCCATCTCAATTTTTTTTGTTTTAATTTCTATAACTCTTTTTTGTTTTATTTATTTATTTTAATTGTTTTAAAAAAACTTCTTAATTAAATCTCAAAAAATCACAAAAGTAAGAAAAATATGAATTAAGTTTTTTTCATAAAATATTTAATTTCATTAACTAATTCGATTAATTAGGATAACTTAAATTCCTTTTTTTCATAATTAAAATTAATTAGAAATTAGATTAATTTGCAAAATTAATTACTGTTTCTCAAAATAATCCAAAAATATATTTTTCTTTATTCACTAATTAAATATCTTTGAATTTAATTTTAATTTCTCGTATTTAATTTCATCGCATATTTATTTATTTATTTTCCAATTAATGTAATTGCTCCGAGTTTGTAATAGTTTAACTTAGGTTTATTACTATTTGCCTTTACTGTTCTTTTTCCCAAGTTTTTTATTATGTAATCTCCCTCCCCAAAGCCTTGTAATAGCTAGGTTTAAACTTCTCGCACTTTTCCTTTCCATCATTATAAACTGCTAGATGATTGATAATAGGATTGTATGCAAAAGATCATAATTTAAAACAGTAGAAAATCCTAACTTTGCAAAGATAATTAACTGAAAAATAAACACTTGCACATGCTCACTCCTAGAGTTTGTCCCACTTCGGTTGCCTTCGGTAAACGATCATGAAGTATAGGGAGTTTTAGTGGTTGCCCTCTAGTCCCAAAAGATCAAAGATGACCCATTCGAATATTTCCTCAGAAAGATCTTTAGGACTATAGGGTAACTACTAAAGTTTCCTAACCATTGCTTTAGTGATCGTAATCGTCCCTTTCGTCTCTTTCGATTGCCCCTCAAACTCCAACGATGGAGCTACCTACTCCTTAATAGTAGGATAGCACTGTCTAAAGGAAATAAGAAAACGAATAAACTTTTTTGAGTAGGTAGAAACTCTTAAGTACTTGCTCAAACAAACTTTTACACTTACACTTTCAAACAAACTTTTCAAACTAAAGTTTTCAAAAACACTTTATCACACCCTTGAGGACTGACACAAGGGTTACCATAAAGTGAAACGCCGCACTAAGACAATTTTAAAACTTTTCAAACACACAAACACACGAAAGCAATTTAAAAAATGAGCAAGTACCTAAGAGTCAATGGAAAACCATGGATAAAAAGGATTCTAACACTTTCCCTTTCTATAATCTACCTCCGTACTCAGAAACATCTCGAAAAATATTTTTTCTTATGATATATTTATTGTAGGAAAAATATTTCTAACTTTAACAAATTAAAGAAACAATTGAAAGAGTCATTTTCTATGAAACACATGGGAGCAACTAAAAAGATTCTTGACATTAGAATCATGTCTAACATGAAGGAGAAGAAACTTTGGATATGTTTTTTTCGGTGCTTTGGTGGATAATTGAAACAATTGCAATATTCCTTGCATTTTATCTTGATACAAATTGTTTTTTCACGCATTGCAAGCTACTTGTGTTGTCTGTCTCTGAATCATGTGAACATATAACATAACAATTTACTTGTTCACAAAAAATAATGTAATTTTTTTATTCATTTTTATTCAAGAGCGTGGATGGTGGAAAGATATAAAGAATCAACATAGTGAAAAGGAAGAGATAAGTCAAGAAAGAAACCAAGCAGAGGAGAAATTCCAGACAAGAGGTGGATTTTCTGAAAGAAAAGAGAGTCATAACTCCAGGAAAAAGACCTGCATTCAGGGAGAACAAGATTCCGGTGGATTCAGGAGATGGTAATCTAGCTGCAACAGTGGCTGTTAAGTCAACCTAGTTTGACCATCATCCAGAAAGGAAGGAGAAAAAGAGAAGCAATCCATACCAAGTGGACAGAGCACACTACAAGGATAAAGCTGCGAGAGGCGGGGTTCCGTCAAGAGAAAGGCATAGAAAAATTTAATGGAAGACAAGGTTATCTTCCTAGTAAGACTCAATCCGAGAAATGGAAACATGATTTGTATCAACATGTCAATAAGGAAATGAGGATGACCAGGTTGCAAAACTGGAAGCCCTTTTGGCTTCATAAAATATTTCCAGAACCTATGACCTCAGTTACAGAACCATTTCCAGAGATGAGTGTCCCGGTTATATTTTTTTTGCGAGATCCTGTTGAATGAAGCAAGGTTATTTGAAATAAGAATTGCCCTTTGGCTTCATTGGAACGAAGACCATTATACAACGGATTTTGTAAACAATCAAATGTTTTTCCTTAATTGTGACCATATCTAGAATTGGATTTTTTTTCCCTTTAATATTTTGCACTCCAATGAAGTATGTTGAGCTAATTTGAGCAGAGATGAGTAGTTCCTCAGTTTCTATGAATGCTAAGGGTTAACATCATCAAGTAAAAAAAACATATACCAGCCAGGCTTTTCAGCAGACATTTAATTGATCGGTTGTAATCACAATTGGCATTGTTTTAAAACTGTTAGAAATAACTTGTATATAAAAAGCAATACTGCTGCAAAAGGTTCACATTGTGATGAGTGAAATTGTGAAACACCAAAACACTAATGTAATTGAGTATAGACCTCCGCTTTGTGTAACAATATCATATAAATCTAAGGAAAATTGCAACCAGTATCCACTTTTGCAGTTACAGATATTGAACAGCAAAATTGTAAATGTTATTATACAAGAGTTTGACAAAATGACAGCAACTATGTAAGTTAGCAAGTACAGTTGCTAGCGGTATATAAAAATTAGGAGGACTGGGGATCATTTATATCAATGATTTTCACTGCACACTTGCTTCACCAAGTGCATCTAGACTTCTGCTTCTAATTTCTATAGATTTCAACTTCAAACAATACATAAAACAAGGGAACGGTTTTTTTATTTTTAAAATTCAGCCCTAAGAGTTAAATTGAACCTATATGAATAGGTAATATCAAATTACAAGATCTTCTATATCCGTTAGGGGATCCGCATTTCCAAGAGACATATCAGGTGCTTTAATCACCAACTGCCCACAGGCACCACTTATGTCCTCACCCATCTGCTTCCGAACTGTTGTTCGAATATCATAGGTACCCCTTAAAATTTTCTGAAAGTTGAACACTTTCTGCTCACTAGTAGGTTTGAATTGACTCAATGTACCAATGGAGTTGAAAGGTATTAAGTTCACTACCTGTTTAACAATTAAGACCATATTCAAAAGGTTAATAACTCTGACTGGGAAAGCCGATCATGTTTAAGACAAATAAATATAGAGAGATGTCTGAGTAAATTTAGTCTGCTTCACAATTCCACAAACAAAATTCAAGGATTACTTAAAATTCAGATTTCAGGAATTTCTGATAGGATACCAAGTGATGTTTGAGCATTTACCACTTCAAATGTCTCCAACAGTTTTCCTAATAGGTGGGCATGGTGCTCTTCATCATTCACACCATCAAGCATAATGTATTCAATTAATATTTTCTGCAGACTGAAAATAATGAAGATTCCAAAATCACTGATATTGTTAACAATGCTAAAAAAAAGAAGTTTACTATAGTAGTATAAATACGTAATAATTACCTTTTCCTTTGATATTCTTGTAGTGAATTCATAAGTTTTTCCAAAGAGAAAGCACGGGCAGCGGGCATTATCTGACAACGGATGTCTTGGGCTGGTGCGTGTAGTGAGACTGCCAAGTTCAAACCAGGCAAATCATTATGAAGCTTGTTGATAGCATGAATGATGCCAACCTATTAAAGATGCAAATGTAACCCTCATAAGCCAAAAACTTCTTCCATTCAAGAACTTTTTCCAACAGAAATTACTTCACAAAATAATAACAGACAATGCAAATATTTATTTGATAAACTTCTAGAAGAGCTTATAGAATAAAACTTTTTCTTAGAAGTTCTAAGTTCTAATGTGTAAAGCTTGTTTGGTCTTCTAGATAAGTTAATTTTGTGTTTGGATTATACTTGCTCATAAGCTCTTTGGGAAGCTTTTAGATAGGTTGAGAATAGAGAAGCTGATAAAATAAGCTTCTAGCTAAGCTCTTGTAGCTTTTCTAAAAGATGAAAGCTTAAGGCACAGTTAATCAAACACCACTTCAAAATTTAAAAATGTCTTATTGTTATATAAAAGCTCTTAGAAGCATCTTATGACCTGTATCATATCAGGCTTAATGACATAAACTCTAGGGATAAACATAATCTGCATTAGAGCCTCGAGGAAGTCTCATATTTTACTCAAATAGTAATTGTTATTTGGTATGCTTAATAAAGAAAACATGGTTAGGCTAGGATGTTCTAAAACAAAGGAAGTATAGTGTATATCTTATTCAGTTCAACCTAGAGTTTCTGACATATAGTGCAAGACCCAAATAATGGAATAAAACCAAATTCTTGGAAGTTGACTTATGTCAAAAAACAAAGAAAAAAACAATGCAAGTCCATAGTGCATATTTTACCGTTGAGATGGTAATCCTTTTGAATGACAATTGAAATGGTGACCCAGTCATGATACGAACAGATTCTACCACAGCAGAATAGTTGTTCAGAGGCTCTCCCATTCCCTGTTAAAAAATAGTTGATTACACTGCAAACTTGACATTAATTTCTACTATAGTGTACACGAAGCATTGAAAACAACTTTTGAATAATAGAATAGGTATTTAACTAAAGCAATAAATAAAGTTGAGGAGGAGAATAACAAGGCAATATTATGCCATATGATAGTGGTCTCAATGTTAACTTTTAACAGAGATGTGGTTTGTTAACATTTATTAGATACCATAGGATACAACTCCGAAAGAAATTTGACAGGAAATCAATAACATATATTCAGTTATCTTGTTGATAAAAGATAATGTAATTCTTGAGCAATCGCAGAGGCTAATCAATCAGACAGTAACGGTTTCCTTTTTCATTATTTTCTACCAATTTTGAGTCATATACAAAATGGAAAGCAAATAATAATTGTCTCAGATTTTCCAATAATTGGCATCATCACTGAGCAGTTCAATTCGCATCATCAATAAAATTCTAGCTTTGAAACAAAACAGACCATTACATATTGTATTTAAACAAGAGAATATCATATATTCAACAGCAGAGAATGAAAATGATAAACAAAAGAAGATCACAATTAAATACACATACCAGAAACACAATTATTTGAACACAGGTTGTTAAAGACAGATAATTAATTATCATAAACAAGGCATAAAAAATGGCTGAAGGCATGAAAAAGCTAAACAATTACCATAAAGACAACGTTACGGATTTGTGCGAAACTAGAGGCATGAACCAATTGCTCCACGATTTCTCCAGAAGATAAATTACTTTTGAATCCCATACTTCCAGTTGCACAGAATCTACAACCCATTTTGCAACCTACCTGCACACAAAAATAACATTGCATTGCATTCATATTGTCTGTGCAAACAGATTGATGACAACAGAACTGAAAGAAAAGAAGTAACAAACAAACCTGAGAAGAAATACAGAGAGTAGCTCTGGGACCACCAAGACGTGGTTTCCCACCATATTTCCCCAAACGAGTATCATATCTCATTATCACAGCCTCCACAAATTCTCCATTCTAACAAAAACAAAATGCAAAATTGAAACCCTAGAATCGGAAACTGTAAAACGAAAGCACAAAAAAAAGCATACATACATTCAGCTTGATGAGGAGCTTTGAAGTGAGGTTATCAGAAGAGTGGAAAACGGAGTGGAGAGTAGAAGAGAGAGGGGTTTTGAAATTGGAACGGAGGAGTGGATATGCTGAAGAAGGTAAAGAAGGAACGTGTTTTTCCCATTCCCAATTACAATCGGAATTGATTTCAGTGTTAGTGTTTCTGAGAGTGAGAAAGAGATGCTTCCATATGATTGGAACGAACTTTGGGTCGATTCCTATTTTCTCGAATTCGGTTTTCAATGCTCCGCCGTCGAATACTGATCGGATTTTCATTCTGCGATTGCCGCCGGTTTCTGGAGAGAGTGGAGGGTTCTCTTTCTTTCTCTCCCTAAAATCAAATACAATTTTTTTTATATAATTGAACATAAGATATTGATCTATATTTGAATATTAATCAATTTAAAAATAAATAAATTTCTTCATTGTGAACAAAAGTTATTCATTTTATTCCCAAAATATTTTCATGTATTAGTACTTTTTAAAAATGGATACAGATTATATATATATATATTTTCATGTATTAGTATTTTCTCCATTTTTATATTTTCATGTATTAGTATTTTCTCCATTTTTTTAAGTGTTATTTTAACATAAATCTCTTCAACTAAGATGGTGAATTGTTAGAGTTATTTTTTCTATTATACCTATTTATTTTCTCTTTCCAAATAAAGTTAATCATACACATTCTCTCATTTTCCAATAACTAATTGATAAAATAATTAATTTATGAAAAATGTGAAGTTGAGTTATTGATAAAGTAAAAGTATAATTGATAAATTATAACGTTAAATTATAAAAACGGCACTTAAATAAAAACAAATAAATTTTTCTAAAACGACACTTAAAAAGAAACGGAGGGAGTAATATATAGGGTTAAATATCTCGTGGTCCTCTTAAGTATCTCATATTTCAATTTTAGTCTCTAAAAAAAATTCTTTCAAAGAATGGTCTTCTTAAATTTGTTATCCACACTTTTAGTCCCTCCTGCAACTTTCTATGAATAATATTTGTTCTCTTTGTACAATTGTTTTTTCGAACGCACATTCAAAGTCACATAACCTATGAACTGCACACCTAGAGTTGTATAGCAGGTTGTCATTAGTGTCGATTGCGTGTGTTTGATGAATTTATCGGTTCGGGCCTCCGTGGAGTTTCATCATCAACTACTTTATTTTTATTACTGGTTATACGTTTCAATAGTTGACTATTTGTCAAATATATGATGCAGGACTGCTACTACACAACTTTCAGGATGACATAAAGCTTCAAACCAACCAAGTTTGGTTGTGAGTTACCGATATAATTGAACATTTCACATCTAAAGTTATACAAATTAAACTCGTGTTTCTTTTCATCATAATAAACATTTGGTTCTAATTTATAGTTATGATTTTTTATGCAGTTGTATGGCGTGGAACCAACGGGTACTGTTTGGAGGAAAGCCATGTAAGTTGTAATATTTTTTCTCCTCATAGTTGACATAAGAACTTACTTTTGAAGTCGTTGATGATGTGAGAATTGAGATTATAAATGTCTAGGTCCACACAAGATTCAAGGGATTGGCGTTGATTTTGTTCCCGGGGTATTGGATATTAGTCTTCTTGATGAAGTAGTTCAAGCAAGTTTCAATGTGCTTTGAAAAATTATAACACCTTGTGTGATACGGTGGCAGAACCGACTGTTTAATACTGGTTTGCGTTTTGTATTTTTTGTTCGCAAAATGTCGCGGTAAGCAAGAGTCGCCACCGACTTTTATTTCATCCAATCATGGAAAAGGAAAAATAACATAAAAAACCTTTTTTTGAGATTTCTGAGTACGGGGGGTAGATTATAGAAAAGGAAGGTGTTAGCACCCTTTCTATCCATGGTTTTCCATGGGCTCTTAGGTACTTGCTCATTTTTTTTTTAAATTGCTTGTGTGTGTGCTTGTTTTGAAAACGTTTTACTTCGTGATAACCCTTGTATCAGTCCTCAAGGATGTGACAAAGTTTGTTTTGAAAGGTGTTTGTGTGAAAAGTTTTCATTGAGCAAGTACTTAAGATTCTATCTACTCGGAAAAACGATTGTTTGTTCTCGTTTCCTTTAGACAGCGCTGTCCTACTATTAAGGAGTAGGTAGCCCCGTCGTTGGAGTTTGTAAGAGACATTCGAAAGGGACAAGTACAATCACTAAAACAATAGTTAGAAAACTTTAGTAGTAACCCTAAAGTCTTAAGATCTTTCTGAGGCAACATTTCTGAGGCAACATTCGAATGAGACATTTTGATCTTTTTAGACTGGAGGGCAACCTCTAAAATCTCCTATGCTTAATGATTGTTTACCGAAGGCAACCGAAGTGAGGTAAACCCTAGGAGTGAATATGTGCATATGAATTGTTTCAGTTATTTAATCTTTGCACATTAGGTGATCTACCGTTTTAATTTCAAGTAATCTTCCCATACAATCCTATTAACATACATCTAGACAGTTAAATATTTGCAGGAATTTAAAGTGCGAGAAAATAAACCTAGCTATTACAAGGCTTCGGGAGATGAGGATTAATTACATAACCAAAGAATCGGGGATTAAAGCAGTAAATAAAACCCTAATTTAACTATTACAAACCATTGGCAGTTACAAAAATAATGAAAAAGAAATAATTAAATGCGCGGCGAATTAAATACGAGGGATGTTGAAAAATAACCTAAACCCTAATTGAAAAAAAAAAGATTTTTGTACATTTTTTATTGGAGAAAACAATGAAATTGCAAATTAAATAAACCCCTAATTTCTAATTGCTTTTTAATTATGAAAAAAAAGTATTTAAGTTAACCTAATTAACCTAATTAATTAAAATAAATATTGTAATGAAAAAATGGTTGTGGTGTATTTTTAAAGAAAATTAATTAAATTATGTATAATTCAAATCCTAAGTCTAATTATTTTTAATTATAAAAAGAAATTAAATTTCCCTAAGTTAATTAAATTAAATTAATTAAGAAATAAAATATTTTTATTAAAAAATATTTTTGTAGTTTGTTGTGATTTTTTTATTAAAAAAAAGAAAATGATTTTTGGGTTAATTAATTAAAAAAATAAAAGAAATTAATTACATAAATTAAAAAGAAAATAGAAAAGAAAATGCAAATTGGGCCTGTATGTGCTAGCAAATGGGGGGGGGGGGGGGGGGGGTGTATGTAGCGGTAGAAATGTTCAAGACTAAGCCATTGGATTGACTAGACTTTATACAAATCAAAATAAAAAATCGCCACCGCGCTTTATTGTTTCCAAAGGAATGGGAAAAGAGCGAATAACCCAAAAAAAGGGGGAAAGATTCAAGGTAAGGGGGTTGGTTATGCAAAGGGAAGGTATTAGCACCCTAAACATCTACGGTACTCCGCAGGAACCTCTTTGAAAAATCTGTATATTTTGGCTATAAAAATGTGTTGTATATAAAATGGATGGTGGAGGTGAGAAAAGAAATATTTTTATGATTTTTGCACCTGCCGCGGTTGTGAACCTTTAGTGCCTACGTACCACCTTTCATGCAATAGGGGATCAGGGTACACGTAGTTCCTCTTTTAAAAATTTGAAACACAAGTGTGTTGGTTAATTTTATGAGATAAGACATCATCGTCATTGTCCGTGTGAAAAACATACTTACTACCCACAATCATGAGAAAGGAGAATTTGCATCATCTCAAAGTGGAGGATATGGCTTGGATTTTAAAATCAACAATGCCTCACTCAACACCCAAGTGGAAAATATCTCTCTTTACTACATATTGTATAAGTATAGTTGTTTGCATCACTACAAGGATTGACAAGAGTCTAATATTGTAAGGAAAGTATTAAAATAAAAGGCCAAAGTGGCAAAAATGGTTTGAAATAAGATTGATTGACTTTTAGTTTTCTCACAAAAAGTGTCAAGGTATTATTAAATTGATTGAAATTTATTTATGAAAATGTTTTGAAAATGCATGGACCTAAGTCCAAGTTTATTATGAAAGTGTTTCAAGTTTAGAAATAAGAAGAGTTTTTAAAAGGAGGGAGAAGATTTTTGAAATTAAAGAAGATGAGAGGAGATAAAGAGATTATCCTAAAGCATAAGATAAAAGCTAGAGATAAGAACCATCTAACCAACAAGAAGCCAATACTTGACATTATGAGTCAATATAGAATTCTCATTCTTCGGATTGAAACCAAGCAAGCAAAGATACTAGACCTCTTGAGAGAACCAAACTTCAAGTGTATTAAGTCTTCGCAAAAATTGGGCAGAGTAACGGCTGTATACGGGTGAATTCCATATTACAAACAAAGTATGTAATCACAATAACCTGCACACAAAACAAACAAACAACCCAATGTCTTGAGGTAAACCTCAAGAACTCCAGAAAAAATATCAAATAAAGTCACAAAGTCTCCAAGATAGGCCAAGGTCTGTAATCCTAAGTCCAGGAAGTCCAATACTCCATAATGCCAAGGATAGTAACCAAATAGTCCAAGTATCATTAAAGATTTTTATGGTTCATGTTGATTATTAGGTGTCTTTAAAAGGAAAAGAAAATCTCAAGTGAGTAAAATAAAAATGGCATAAGAATAAATGCTCATGTGAGCAAAAATAAAAAAAAGGCATGAAGTGTAAATGCTTAAATTAAATGGTACATAAAGCATAAAAAATAAAAGCATAAAGTAAAGTCAATTGTTAGAAATTAGTGGTTAGTTAGATGACCATCTTGAAACTTGCATTTGGAACTCATTAGAGGATTGGTAGAACCAAAGCCTCCACACAACAAGTTGCATTTGCTTTTTGTCAAGTGTATCATCCATTTTGGAATCCTCAAAAGTAACATTTAATGATCAACGATGTTTAAGTGATCCGCGTTGACCAAAGGTGTTGTAGATCCATTAGAGGATTGGTAGAACCAAAGCCTCCACACAATGAATCTCAAGGTTATTGGATCAAAGAGATCAAATTAACATACTTGGGCTTGCAATCATAAGTTTGGGCCACAAATGATCATTTATTCGAATCGGGACAAAATTTAGCGTTATGTTAAGCAATCGTAAGTGGACTTATGTAGAAGTCACACTTATTTTGAGGCTGGTCAATAGCAATCGATGTACTTCATGTTTGGATAAATGATATAGAGATCATCACCCCTTAACATGTAGCACAATTAAAAAAGAAAAGGATAAGATGAAGAGGGAGGGGGAATGATAAGTTAATTTGGATCACCATCTCAAAATTCTTTCATCTTTAAATTCAACCACTCCTCTAGATGGATTAAAGCA